GGGGCCACATACTACTACGAGACGGCCGAGCCCCCAGGGAATCCAAAGGAGGGAAAAAGGGCAGGGCCTCCAGGGCCTAAGAGGGGGGAGGGCTAGGGATCCTGGGGTGGTTCGGCCCCCTGCAAGCAGCCCCCCGCGGGACCAGGTGTCGGTCGTTGTGGTCGACCTCATCCCCCTCGCGGCCGCCTGCACCCCCTAGGGTATCCTTGGGGGCCGGCACGCTCAACGCCGAGGGGGCGTTCTCGACCTTGTTTTGCATGGGGCTGGTGTCGCTGTTGGGCATGTTCGTCGTGGTGTTGCCGTCGGGGTCCCTCGTGAGCTCCTCGTATGGGCATGAGCCCAGGCCAGAGTGGCCTTCGGTTCCGCTCTTGCAGTTGTTGTCTACTTCTTTGGACCGACCCTGTCCCCTGCCCTTCGGCGCCAGCGGCGCTGCGGGGGTACAGGGGGCTGACACCACCCTTCGGCGCGACGCACTGTGGTGACAAGCCGTCGTGGTCCTCCTCCTCGTCTGTGTTGCTCTTCGCCGCTGTCGCGTTGTGTTTGCTGTCGAGGAGGCACTGGTCGTGGTGGTGGTCGCATTCGACGTCGTAGTATTTCTGGGAATAGGCGTAGTTTCCACCTTGCTGGGTCCTGTGCTGTTTGGCTCCTGTGGCAATGTATGGCGACGCCCGCTCGAAGCTGGTACCCTCTGGGAGTCTCGTCTCCTGATGTTGGGTTGGCTGCTCATGATCGCTTTCTTCGTGGTAGCGGTCATAGTGAGTCACGAATTCAGTTAGATTGCCTGTCTGTTGTTCGTCGTTGTTGCTGCTTTCGCGTGCTGCCGCAATGATTCGTGTTGTGTCGTCGTCGGCGTCACTGGTGTGCTGGAAGTGCTTGCTAGTGATCATGTGGTCGGTCGCGGTGACGAGGTTGTGGCTCTTCAAGTGTTGCAGTTCGTGGGGGGCGGTGGTCGTGAACGGTCCGATGTTCATCCAGCAGGCCGTGTCGGTGGCGATGCACGTGTACATGGAAAATAGCGTCACGTATCTTCGCGTTGTCATCCATGATGGTCGTTGGGCCTTTTCTGCTGAAGCCTCTTTTTCCCCACGGGTGTTGTTAATCGAGAAGTCGTTTGCTGTTGTCGAGACTCGGTATGGACTTCTTGTAGTAAATGGCGTCGATTGTACCATTCCGTATGGCTTCGTGAATAGCGTTGTTGGTGTAGTCGGGAGTTCTGTCGTTGTACGTCTGACTCGTGTGGTTCGCTACAGTAAGTATACGTACTCGTCGGTGTTGTAGGTTTGCTTGCTGCCCGATGCCGTTGACGATGCGCATAGTATCATCACTGGTAGCATTCTGGTCGGTGATGATCAGGATCGTCGAAGTCCGATGTGGCCTGTCGTTGCCTGCCTCCGATGTATCACCGTCGATTGTGTCGTGCCGCGTGTGGCGTAGGCGACGATCGCGTGTTTGGGCGCCTTCCATCTGACATCGTCGCTCGTCCTACTCTTCATCTGCTTGCGGTGACAGGGGAACTGGTGCAGGAAGCATCGTGGTATGTTCGTCGTCCGCGCCTGTTCTTTGTGCACGTGGTGGTCCGTGGAGTTGTAAACACGGGCGTTCTGCGCAATCTTCGGGTAGTAGTTTGTTTTTTGTTGGTTCGCCGTGTGTGCCTTATCTCCTCGGATAAGCCGTTGGCTGCGTCGTCGTCGAGTTGCTTGCTGAACTTCATGGCAAGTGATGCACACTGTCTGCTGGTGCACATGTGCTTATACAATCGGTTGACCGCCCAGTATTCCCTCACGCGGAACTGGCACATAGTCCCGTGGATGTAGTTGATTGTTTTTTCCTGCTGGCTGCGCTTAGCGTGCACGTGCTTTGGGTACGCTGTCTTGCCGTTCAGGACTTGCCCGCACTCGTAACACAGGTACCTGCAATCATGTTGGGGTGCTTCGATGTCAGGCGTCGGGGTGGTGGTGCCGTCGCACATGTCTTAGATGCGTCTTCTCCAGGCGACTGTGGCTGCTTTTTCTTTGTTGAACTCGACGGCTGCCTTGCAGGCGTGTGTGGTTATGCTTTTGAATTTGGATGGGTCTTCTTTTGCCATGCCTATCCATTGGCGTGTGTCGTCGTAGTTGGGCGTATTGTGGTGTTTGCTGGTGTGCGCTTTGACGTGGTGGAGGTCGTCTGCAATCGTAGTTGACCATCTGCCTTTGTTCTCGATGTCGTAGTCAAGCAGGGCTCTTGGTTCAGAAGGGCATGCGTTCGTTATCCGTAGAATATGTCGCAATCTTGCTTGCCGTAATATTTGTGGGAGTGTCGGGATGCCTGCCCAGTTGATGATCTCGATGTTGGTGATCTTCTCCCGCTGAGTTGTCTGACGGTCAATGACCCATGCTATCCTCGCAGCTGCTGTGTATGCAGTGGCGATCCTGTCTGTGTCAGTCGTTTTTGCAGGTATCCAGGTCCCTGCATTGCATAGGAGTCTTGAGCAACCAAGGGCATTGTGATAATGTATCTTGGCGGTAGTGGTGATCTTGTCGCGCTTGAACGCCGTCTTTTGAAGTAGTGTGGTAGCGAAGATGAGGAAGTTGGACTCGGTGATGTTGATGGGGGGTCCTCGCGAAAGTGTCGTTCGTATTAGTATCCCCCACATGGCTTTGACTGTAGTTTCGATCGCATTGCCGTCGGCGACCGTTGCCATAGCTTTCGCGTCGTCGACAAATGATGTTGTCGTCATATTCTGGATTTCAGGACTAGTGCAGAATACTGATGAGCTGCCTGGTGTTCTTACAGTGGCGTCCGCTTTGATCGCCTCTTCATGATAGTCTTTCGTAACTGCAGACATCGGCGCGTTGAACGTGAAGTTGGCTATGGGCACTCCTGGTCTTGTCCCTAGCCTTGGTGCTGCGCAGTCTGAGTCGCGCTCGGTGAAGAACCGCGTCTTGCGGCGGGCTTCGGTCAGCATCGAGAGCAAATGCTTGTTGTCTATCTGGGCGCTGATGCCGCTGTTGTTCATGAGGGTCTGCATAGCCGGTTGCATGCATTGAGGGATGTCCACGTGGCCTATCAGGTTGTCGATGTCGCCGGTGCTCATCTGCACGTCGTATACCAGGTTCGTGGCTACCTCGTGAAAGGCAGCTTCCAGGCCGATCATGATCATGATGAGGTCGGTTCCTTCCGCGGCTGCTAGGTTGGAGGTCAGTCGCATTATATAGGTGGTTGTAGTCCGTGCTGTAATTGCTTCGGCCTCCTATCTGAGTGCTGAAGAATAGCCCAGGTAACAAGTACTTCATGCACTGTCGTATATACCTGTAGTGGTGCTTGATGATGGCGTTGGCGAGCGATATCGATCGGTGGTGTTGTAGCGTCTCTTCAGCCCCTTTTCCTTTCCAGAAATGTGTTATTCGCGATCTTGCGTGCGTCGCTGCTTCTCGGATGAGTTGCGCAGTCTTTGAAATTAGCGGGCGCATGTGGCGCGCGATCTCTCGTGGTGCCGCGTGGGCAAGGTCGTCGGTAACTTCGTCAGGCCCTGCAGCTCGTCCGAGTTTGCACCGTGCCATTTGTTCTTCAAGCTTGAATATGCTAGCAAAGTTGTCGATGCTTCGGATCGTATTGTTGTCGCAGATGTCGTCGGTGTTGTTGTATTGCTCTGTTATGTCGGTCTTTGTCATGAAAGCTGCAGCTTCTATGTCGCCGAAGCGGTGGACGGCTACCTTGTGCTTCGCTGCCGCGTCCGTAATAACCTCGCCGTTGTTGTCCACCATCATAGGGTATGCCCGTGCCTTGCGTCGCTTGCGCCCTCCAAACAGTCGTTGCTTCCGCGCTCGTTTCCAATCGTTGTATGGCTCGTTGTTGTACCTCGCTTCTGCTGCTCGCGTGGCTTGCTGGTTGATGAACTCGTCGTAATCGTCGTTGGCCATTCGTGATAATGTTTTCCGAGTATCATTGTACCACTCGTGCAGCGAGGAAAACAACCGTTGTAGTCGTTGTTGATGTTAGCCCGCTGCGTTTCGATAGCGAGTCGTATGAAAGTCCATTGTAGTGCTGATCCAGGTGTTTGGTCGGCAAGCTTTTTGTCGGGTGCACGACTGTGCAGGCTACTTCTTTGATAATTCTTCTGGCCACTCCGTGGTGCTGCGGCCCGCGCTGCGCCGCGTTCCGCAGTAGCTCGGCAAGTCGTCGTCGGTCGATGATAAATTCGAAGGCCTGGTCGGAGATGTACTCCTGCATCTTCTTGTGCTGGCAATTGGGAAATGCTGCGGTGGCTGCCTCCATGATGCTGATCGTGTAGAAATGTGCGTGCTGGTCAAGGCTGGTGTACCAGTCAGGGATCACGGTCGCTTCAAGCATCTGCTTGAATGTGTTGATCGCCTCTTCGTCCGTCAGCTTTGTTCTGTCGGTCTAAGGGAACAGCTTCTTGTTCGTCCTGGTCGATATTTGGCAAGCCACTTATGCTAGCGCTGGTGTGTGATCCACTCGTGGTTGGTCTGCCTTGGCTTGCTTTTCATCGTCTCAAGGTCTGGCATCGTCAAACATGTTGTCACAGCTTGATGTAGTCGTTCGCTTAACATGATTTAGTCGATGTGGTGTCCATGTCCATGGGCATCTTTCCATGCGTGGCGGTCTTTGCCGCATGATCTATGGGCATTGACGATAGGCATGTGCGCCGACGCAGCCAATGCGTGTAATCGCTGTCCATGTTCGTCTTGTTGCTGTTGTAGACCTGCGGATCCAACCCATTGTGATGTCGTAGACCCCACTCTCCCGTTCGCACCGATGAGGATTATGGACGGGTTGAGCTTCGATTCTTGCTTGGTTATGTACTCCCAGAATTAATTTCGCTCTATAGCGTTCTTCTTTTTGTGAGGGGCGTGCGCAACACACACCATGTGGTCGAAAGCCTTCGCCCGGATCCGCACAATGAGTAGCCGTGGCCTGGTTGCGATGACGTGAAAATCCGATGGTTGAACATGGAATGGTCCCGTTGGTGTTGTAGCATATGGTAGCGTAAGGCTGACCCACAATTCGCAGCCGCAGTTGTAGTTCTGGTGTGGGCTGCTGATCATGTGGTACCCGTTGCTGGTAGCTGCTCGTCGCTTGTTCCTTCCTTCCTGGATCCCAGTGAGGTGTACTCCGCGATGCTGTAGCTGACGTCGCATGATCGCCCCCCGCCATTCATTGGTCAATCTTCCTGCTCTGGTCATCTTGTTCTTCACTGTCGGCTTCGCTTCTCTTGCGCTTTCGACATTGTAGGTCATGATGTTGATCTTGATCTCCGCTGGGATGTTCGCTTTGCCCGTCGGTGCCATCATGCACTCGGGCTTGGCGGGGTATGCGTGTCTATATCGGTGGTTATTGTCCAGTATTTTTCTCCATTGATAATATTTGCTGGTAGTGATAGCGAGTTGGAAGTTGCGTGGGCCGTGGTTGGTAGGCTCTCTCTTATCGTGGTTCTTCCGCTCGCGCTTTGATAGACAACCAGCAAGTTCTCTCCACGGCATCCCTTCGTGGCTTGGCACGCGGTGGAGATCGATGCTGGCGATGGTATTGTTGCAAGCGAATACAAGCTTGAGGTGCATGGAGAGGTCGTGGTCTGCGGTCGAGGTGACCGTGCCGTGGCATATGTCGATGACCGTCTTGCTGCATGTAAAGGCATTGACGTGCTGGGATTCGTTGGCCGCAATGATCAACATGAGTGTCTGTATTACTGCCATGATCTCGCCTGTGGTGTTGGTATATGCGCTGCTGTTGAGGTCCACGTTGTGGCTGTCGCTGACGATGCCGTAGCATGCGCCCCTGAATGTACGTTCTTCGAACATATTAGCTTCCTGGAGAAGCATGAAAGCCCAGGAGCAGCTGTCTTTCTTCTTCATATTGTAGGACGCGTCCGCGTAGAAGTTCTTCGTCTTGTGTCTGTTGTTGCCATTCGGGGTCGAGTCGAGGGCGCATCGCGCCGCGGGGTGCAGGTCGTCGCCGCAGACATTCTGGTATAGGGTCGGTGCTGGTGTTGCAAGTATCATTGCCTTCAAGCTGCTGGTGTGTCCGAGGTCGCACTTGTTGTTGAGCTGTTGGTGGTTAATGCTGTATTGGCGTAGTATTTGTTGTCGGGATCTTTCTTGGTCGGTTGCTTGTGTTGCTACACAGTGTGTTTTAGGTTGTTTGGGTTGGCCCTTATTTGGTTTAACTCTGAATGGTTGCATAGCTTTTGTTGTGCACGTTGTCGAGCTGCTTTCGCTGTTTTGTGGTGTCCCCTGTCGATGCCGTCGCGGCTGTCGGAATGGTAGCATTGCGGTACGTATGTCTTGCGTTGTCTTGTAGTGGTGGTCAGCTCATTGTCGTGCTCCTACGCCGGTGCCCTGCGATGCTGTCAGGGCAGCCGTCTTATCGTTGTCGGTTTGTACATCGTGCTGTGAGTCGTTGGTAGGTTGTGTCACTAGTTGTTGCGCATGCTGGTTATCGGTTGTCGTGTTATGTGATCTCGTCCTCCGTTGTTGGGATGGTGGGTAAGTCGGTCGTTGAGTCGGCGTGCTTATCGTAGGGTCGGTGTGGATTCGGTTTGTTGCTGGTCGTGGAATCATGGTAGTGTGCGCACTTGTTTGGCCTCCGTGCACCGACGTCAAGTGGGGTTCGTGGCTGTCCCACCTCGTGCCGCCATGGCTAAGGGTCACTGTGCCCTCGGTGGGGGCGAATCCCAGGCCTAGTGATTGCTTCTGTTCTCGGTGAGGTATGTCACGTCTGTCCTGTGCTCCGCCTCTTGGGCGTTCGGGTGAGCTCCCCCTCCGCCTTGGGGATGGTGGGGGCGGCGAGCTAGGGCGGACCGCGGGGGCGCGGGTAGTGGCCGTCCTACCCCCCCCTGCCCCTCACCATCCTCCCTGGCAGGCGCGGGCAGTACTCGTCCTGCCCCCCCGCCCTTCAAGCCCGTCTCGAAGTTTGATCCGTGCCTGTCCAGGACAGCGTTGACTTGCACGCACATTGGTTGGTTCTGGCTGTCATCTGTGTCGTCATTGTCGTCTTCAGTGTCGGTTGTCGCATAGGCAAGACCACTAAATCGGTTGTTCAAGGGTACCCGTGATGGTCGTTGCAGTTGCCTCTGATGTTGTCGTTGACTCCGTAGTGCAGGTCGTTATTAGTACTGCAGTTGTGGTAGGCTTGCTTCGTCGAGTCGGGCCTCGATCTTCGTGTCGTGGTCGCGCTCCTCGTCGTCGCGGTCGTTGCAATATGTCCTGTCGATGTGCAGGTCATTGAGGAAAGTCTCCTCGATGTTGCCTCCTCCTCCTCCCCCTCCTCCTCCTCCTCCTCCTCCCCCTCCTCCTCCTCCTCCTCCTCCGCCCCCGCCTCCGCCTCCTCCGTTTCCTCCGCTTCCTCCTCCTCCTCCTCTTCCCAGAGGCGCGGGGAGCATCGCGCCTCGCGCGGGTCGCGGCCCGGGCCGGAGAGCTGCCCCCCCCCCTCCAGTGGAGTGGCCTCGCGAGGGGCGGGGAGGCACGCCGCCGAGGCCGCGGGGCGCGGCGCTCACGCAGGGTCCTCGGGCGACCCAGGCGGGCAGGGCTCCACTTTCGGTCAGGAGGGGAAAAACGCACAGACACAATTCATCGTCGGCTCCCAGGAAACGATGGGAAAATATGGGGAGTGGGGGGGAAGGCAAGAACCCAGAAAATATGGGGAGTCATGTTCTTCGTGTGGACTTATTTGCGTGTCCTTGGGTCCCTTCATTTCGACTCCTTCGACTCGGTTCGATTCGATTTCGATGGCTTCCGATTCCGATTCGTTTCGACTCGGGATTCCGACGTGGGTTCCGATGTCTTGTTGGACGTGTGCTGGCCTGCCGATCTTCGCCGAGTCGACTTCTTCCGACTCGGCTGCCGATTTCCGCCGATCCGATTCATGCCGATGGCCGATCCGACTCGTCGATTCGATTCTGGGTTCTCCTGGGCAGGGGCGGGCGGCCCTCGAAGGATACAGCAGCCCCACGTCGGCGGCGAGCGAGGGGGGAATGGGAGGAGGAGACGGCCTGCTCAGAAGTTTCGGAAGTCCCCCAGCCTTCCCTTCTGAGGAGTCTTCTGAGCCTTCCCCGAAGACACAAAGAGCTTGTCAGAAGTTCTGCAGGCGATCCAGGCAGGGGTGGGCGGCCCTCGAAAGGTACAGAAGCCCTGCAGTCAACCCGCATAGTAAGGATGGGCGGCTTTTTCAAGGTTACCCTTGCATCCTTGCCCCTTCGGCCCATTTTTAGCGACTTTGACTGGCCAACCTCGTTCGAAAAAACGTTCACATGGACCTCCAAGGCCCTTGCATCCTTACCGCGCATCCTTATGATGCGTGTTGACTGTGCAGTCGGACCGAGGTATAAGATCGAGATCGGTTCGGGGAGGGTGCCCTTCTAGGCCTCCTGGATGGGGTCGGAGTGGATAGGGTCGGAGGATCGCGCCGCATCGTCGATGCATCGGCGATGCGGCTCGATGTGGAGCCCGACTTTCTCAAAGCTGGCGTTACCGATGCATCGCTGATGTCGCCGATGCATCGCCGATGCATCGGCGATGTATCGCCGATGTATCGGCGATGCAGCGCGATCCTCCGACCCCATCTACTCCGACCCCATCTAGGCGGCCTCTAACCCTAGTGTTCTTTTGTGTTTGTTGGATGTTCTTGTGTATCCTGGAGAGGATACCCTTGGAAGTTCTGCTTGTTTTGGCCGACGGAGGGTCTCATGTTCTTGAGAGATGTTCTTCAACACGCTCCAGCGTGCGGGCGGCGTTGGCGGATCTGGGGCCTCTATGGCCCCCGACAAGGACATCGAGGACTTTGTGCGCAGGCACCACATCGACCAGCGGGCTTCCACAGTGCTCGCCGAGGCCTTGGCGAAGCGCCCTGACAAGAAGGACGTGATCGCCGCCCTGGACAAGCACTGCAGAGGGTCCGACCGACCCTCGGACGTCATCCGGGACATGGCCAGGACGCTGCTCAGCGGAGGCGAGCTTCCAGAGCCGCCGCCCTCGAGGGACCGCGAGAGGGACGACAGGGATCGCGGCCGTGGCGAGCGGCGGGACCGCAGCCGCGACAGGCGCGACCGCAGCCGCGACAGGCGCGACCGCGACCGCCGCGACGACCGCGACCGCCGGCCAGCGTACGACGGCGCCGCGGCGCTGCGCGAGAAGCGCGAGCGCGACGCCCGCGGCGGCGACGACGGCCGCGACCGCAGGCGCAGCCGCAGCCGCAGCCGCCGCGACCGGAGGCGCAGCCGCAGCCGGAGCCGCAGCCGCCGCGAGCGGCGCCGGAGCGCCAGCCGCGCGGCGCGCAGGGGCGAGAGCAAGTTCTCCGGTGGCGAGGCGCCCGCGGAGGCGGCGGGCGCGGGCGCCTCGGCGCCATGCCTGGCGCCAGACCAGGCGGAGAAGCTGCGCCAGCAGCTGCAGGCGCTGCAGGGCATGCGCGGCCAGCTGCTCGCCTCCGGCGGCGACGTGGCGGCGGTGGACGAGCAGATTGCGCTGTCCCAGAAGCTGCTCGAGGGCATTTGGGCCACGTGCAGAGGGGGGCAGTAGGGGGAGAGGGGGGAGGCTGCTTAGAGAGGCACCTCTGCTGCTCAGACGGCGCGGGCCTTTTGTCTACAGATGTAGGGCCGGCGCCTTCTGAGAAGCAGCCTCCGTCTAAGAAAAGAAGCCTTCCCCCCCCCTACCCCCTTGTGCGCGCGGCCAAGGCATGACCCAGCCAGCGCCCTCCCCGGCGCCGCAGCCGTTCCCTGATGCGGGAGGCAGCGCGCCTTCGTGGGTCGGTGGCCCACAGGCTGACCCGTGCTCCAGCCAGGCGTCCCAGCCCACCCTGGAGGCCCCGATGGGCATGGCCTCCATGGGAGCTCCGCAGACATGCCAGCCCCAGATGGGCATGGCCCCGCAGGCATGCCAGCCACAGATGGGCATGGCGCCGCAGGCATGCCAGCCACAGATGGGCATGGCGCAGCAGCAGATGGGGATGGGCATGACCAGCCCGATGGGCATGGCGCCCATGGGGGCTCCCCAGGCATGCCAGCCACAGATGGGCATGGCGCAGCAGCAGATGGGGATGGGCATGACCAGCCCGATGGGCATGGCGCCCATGGGGGCTCCCCAGGCATGCCAGCCACAGATGGGCATGGCCCAGCAGCAGATGGGGATGGGCATGGCCGCGGCGCCGCCTATGGGAGCTTCGCAGGCTTACCAGCCTGCAATGGCCTCGCCCATGGGGGCTCCACAGGCGTGGAACGCAGGCAGTCAAGGTGCTATGCCGGTCCACGGCGCGAGCGCCGCGTGGGGCGCAGGTTTTGTTCCGCCCAGCCAGCCGCCACCAGCTTCGCCGGGCTGGGTGTGAGGCGGTGCGCCTGGCAGACGCTCTGTATTAGGGCGGCGCACTCAGTCTTCTTCGCAGGCGGCCGCTGCATCGATGAAAGAGGTGGAGGAATCGGCGCGCAGCCCCCTCCCCTCTTCCTCCCCCTCCCCCATACTCCCCACCCTCCTCCGCCGCCCCCTCCCCCCCCACTCCCCCTCCCTCCCTCCTTCCTCCCCCTATTGCCCTCTCCCCCTCCTGCTCCCTCCACCTGCTCCTCCGTCCCCCCCTCGTCCTCCCCTTCCCCCCCCCCTCCCTCCTGCCCCAGGAGGCGAAAACAGGAGCAGCGGGAGGAGGAGATGGGAGGAGCACCCCTGGGCATCGCTCGGACACGCGTGCGCTTTTTCCCAGCGAGGCCCATCGAGGAGCATCCTGGGCCATCCCGCGAACCAGAAACTTCCCTGTCGAGGGGCCCAGGCCCCGATCGGCGAGGAAGGAGGAGGAGGAGGAGGAGGAGGAGGAGGAGGAGGAGGAGGAGGAGGAGGAGGAGGATAGGAGGATATAGGAGGATAGAGGATAGGAGGATAGGAGGATAGGAGGAGGAGGAGGAGGAGGAGGAGGAGGGCGGAGGAGGAGGAGGAGGAGGAGGAGGAGGAGAGAGGAGGGAGAGGAGGAGGAGGAGGAGGAGGAGAGGAGGAGGAGGCGGAGGAGGAGGAGGAGGAGGAGGAGGAGGAGGAGGAGAGGAGAAGGAGGAAGACAATGGCGAGTTTGGGGTTCTTGGGGCGTTTTGGGGGCTTCTTGGGGCGTCCTGGGTCATCCTGCGAACCAGAAACCACGCGCACGAGAACGGCACAATGCACCAGGGCCAGGGACGCCCGAGCGAGGGCGGGTGGGAGGCGAGGCACCCCGACGCGCCCTCCCCGCAGGGAAGCCCTCCGATGGTGGCGGCGCCGCAGTCCCTCCCGGCGCTGTGCCAGAGCTTCAAGCGGCTGTGCGCCTCGGAGGAAGGAGGGAAGAGGAGGAGGAGGAAGAGGAGGAGGAGGAGGAGGAGCGGAGCAGAGCAAGAAGGAGGAGGAGAGAGGAGGAGAGGAGGGAGTAGGGATGATGATGATGAGATGATGAACGAGTTGATTATGATGATTTGATGATGATGATTATGGAGAGGAGGAGGAGGAGGAGAAAAAAAAAGGAGGAGAGATGAGGCGGAGAGGAGGAGGCGGAGGAGGAGGCGTAGGAGGGGAGGAGGAGGAGAGGGGAGGAGGAGGAGAGGAGAGGGAGGGGAGGAGGAGGAGGAGGAGCAACAGAAGGTGGAGGGGAGCAGGAGGAGGAGGAGAGAGGAGGAGGCGGAGGAGAGGAAGGAGAAGAAGAATGAGGAGGAGAGGAGGAGGAGGGGAGGAATAGGAGAGGAGAGAGAGCGGAGGAGGAGGAGGTGGAGGAGGAGGAGGAGGAGAGGGGAGGGGCGGAGGAGAGAGGGGAGAGGAGATGGGAGGAGGAGAGGAGGAGGGAGATGGAGGAGGAGAGGGAGGAGGGGATGAGGAGGAGGAGGAGGAGGAGGAGGACGAGGTAAGACGAACCTAGGGAGGAGGAGGAGGAGGAGAGGAGGAGAGGAGAGGAGGAGGGGAAGGAGAGGGAGGAGGAAGGAGGAGGAGCAGGAGGAGGAGCAGGAGGGGAGGAGGAAAAAACGGAGGAGGAGGATGAGAGGAGGGAGGAGGAGGAGAGGAGGAGGGAGGAGGAGGAGGAGGAGGAGAGGAGGAGGAGAGGAGGAGTAGAGGGAGGAGGAGAGGAGGAGGAGAGGAGGAGGAGGAGGGGAGGAGGAGGGAGGAGTAGGAGGAGGAGGCGGAGGGCGGGGCACGTTTTCTGGCGCGCGCCGCGGGGGGGGGGGCGCCAGGAGAGCGCCGGCGGAGCGCCGCGCCGCGCGCTCCCGAGCGGCCGAGCTCGAGCGGCACACGGCGTGGGCTCTGGCGCGGGCCCGTGCGCCGCAGAGCCCGTGGTGCCGCTTTGTCCCGTTCCCACCCCTGAGCGGTGTGCACATTCAGATTTAACAAATGCAATCAATGATATGGTTTATGTATAGTTATATATATATATATATGTATATATAAATATGTATATATATACATATATTGATTTGGGTATCTACAGACATACATATACATATACATATACATATACCTAGATTGATGTGTGAATCTATGTATGTATGAATATATGATATATATATATATATATATAGATGTGGCCTTCGGCCCATCCCGCCACCGTGCTTGGGTTGTGAGTATTGAGCCAGTCTGATGTTCGTTGCGATCTCGTGGGAGGCTTCTCGAGGGCCTCTTGAAGGCAGTTTGGACGCCTCTTGGGGGCCGTTTGGGGGGCCTCTCTTGGAGCCTCTTGGGAGCCTCCTGGGAGCCTCTTGGGAGCCTCTTGGGAGCCTCTTGGGGGCCTCTTGGGGGCCTCTTGGGGCTTCCAGGGCGCCTCTTGGGGCCTCCTGGGGGCCGCGCGGGGCGGAAGGCCCGGATCTTCTGTTCGTGTTCCCTGTTTGGGCCCCTTTCGGGGCTGTCTTGGGGCACTCTTGGGCCGTTTGGGCCGCCTCTTGGGCTGTCTTGGGGCCCTCTGAGGCCGTCTTGGGGCGGTCTTGGAGGCTTCTTGGGCCGTCTTGGGGCAGTTTGGGGGGCCTCCAGGGCCGTCTGCGAGCGTCGGGAAGCCGAGAAGGCGAGAACGCCAAAATCCTACAAACACCTATTGGAAATCTATGATTTGGGCCTCTTGGGGCCATCTCGGGAGGCCTCCAGTTCGGCGACTCGGGGCCTTCTTGGAACGTCGTCCTGGGGGCTTCTTGAGGCCCTCTTGGTCCGTCCCGGGGCCCTCGTGGGTCCGAAGCATGCCTTCGACAAGATGCGACGGAGCCCAAAAGGGGGCACGCGTGAAGCCCCGAGAGATTTGTGCATTCGGGCTCCTCACAGACTCCTCGGGACTGAGGACTGAGGCTCGGGGGACTGGGCACAGGACCTGAGGACACGCCTACTCCGTGTCCAGCGGCACGGTGGCGGATGCGTGTATGCATTCCTACTGGTAGATCTTTTAAGATAGGGCCGGGGAGCCCACCCCGCAGCGCCCCCCCCCCAAACGAATTTCGCCTCCTCGGGCCCCCCCCAAACGAATTTCGCCTCCTCGGGCCTGTCTGGCGCCTTACAGTGGCCATCCTGGGGCCTGTCTTGCGCCTTGCTGTGGCCATCCTGGGGTCGTCTTGACGCCCCCCGAGTCAAGCGATAGTGCACAAGCGAGAAGGCCGAAAACATGTCTTTTTTACTGCGTTTTCTGCTTTTCCCACTCTCCGGGCCCTGTTGCGCCAGCCTTGGACCTTTTTGGGGCTCGTCTGGGGCCTCATCTGGAGCCGTCTTGGAGGCATCTGGACGCCTCAAGAGCCAATCGGAAGCGACAAGGCGAGAAGACCAAAACCTGGCTTTTCCCAATGATTTTCCTACATGTGTCCATCTCGTGGAAGAGAGCATATCCGTATCCGCGGCCCCGCCCGCCGAGCTACTGGGCCGCGACCCCGCGGGTGCGGGGCGCTGCTTCGCAGATGCCCCTCGCGGCACCATAGGGCCCGGAGAGGGGGGCCCATGGGCCCCCCTCCGGGCCCTATAAGTGCCGGGGAGCCCTCCCCCAAAAGATTTTCGAATCCTCGGGCCTGTCTTGCGCCTCCCTGTGGCCGTCCTGGGGTCGCCTTGACGCCCCCCCAGTCAGCCAGAAGTGAAAAAGCGAGAAGGCCGAAAACATTGCTTTTTTACTGCGTTTTCTCTGCTTCTTCCACTCTCCGGGCCCTGTTGCGCCAGCCTTGGACTTCTTTGGGGCTCGGCAGGGGATTCAGTTGGAGATGTCTTGGAGCTGTCTCGACGCCTCAAGAGCCAGTCGGAAGCGACATGGCGAGAAGACCTCTTCGGGCCTTCCTGCAGGTCCCCTTGGAGGCTTCTTGGACTGCATTGGAAGCCTCTAGGGGGCCTGTGGGGCCGTCCTGGGCCATCTTGGGGCCATCTTGGAACGCCTCGGGTGCATCTTGGGCCGTCTTGGAGACATGTTGGGGCCGTCTTGGGCTCTCTTGGGGCATTCCTAGCCGCCTTGGAGGCATCTTGGTGACCATCTTGGGCCATTTGGGCCGTCTTGGTGGCGATGTGGGCCATACCTTCTGGTCCTTCCGATGGGGCAGGCGGTCTGGGCCGAAGGCCACCAGGAAGGGTTAAAAAATAACAAGAGCAGCAAAATGTTTGGCACGCCGTCCACCCCTGTGGCAAGCACAGGGGGCGGCGGATCCAAGACGCCTACGGCGAATCACCGCCGCCCACAGCCTTTTTGAGAAGCGCCCATGTGGCCAAACGTTGGGCCCCAGCTTGGCCAGGCTATCTGATTATGTATTCCCCCAGCCGCTCCGGGAACTCTTCGGGGAACATTTGGGGGAGGCTGAGGGGGAGGAGGAGAAGAAGGAGGAGGAGGAGGAGGAGGCCTCTTGGGAGCCTCTTGGGGCACTCTTGTGGGGCCTCCTGGGGGCTTCCCGGGTGCCTCTTGGAAGCCTCTTGGGGGCCTCCTTAGGCCTCTTGGGGGCCTTGGTGGCGTCGTGGGGGCCTCTCCTTGGCCGTTTTACAGCGTTCCTGGCCCGTCTGACGGGTCTGACGCCGTCGGAAGCCGTCTTGGGGGCCTCTCTGAACCGATGTGGGGTCCTCTTGAAGCGCTTTACGGCCGTCTTGGAGGCCATCTTGGGCGTCTTAGAGGCCTTTTGGGGCCGTCTTTGGGGCCTCCTGGGCCGTCATGGGGCCGTCTTGGAAGCCTCCTGGGCGCATTGGGGGCGAGGAGGAGGAGGAGGAGGAGGTTGAGGAGGAGGAGGAGGAAGAGGAGGAAGAAAAGGATTGGGAAAAGCAGGCGAAGAGGGAGTAGGAAGAGAAACAGAGAGGAGGACCAGGAGAAGGAGGCAGGGGGTAGGAGCGAGGAGACACAGTCGGACAACGAGAGACAAAGTCGGAGCAACCCCCAACCTCCAGAGTCTGGGGGCGCCCCAGAGTCTGAACAGCACCTTTTTCAGACCCTTTACCTCCAAGCCTGGCCCTACCAATCCGGATCCTCAGTTCCAGATCTCGCCGCCCTTGCAAACCCCTGGCTAGGCCAGACTGCCCAGACTGCCTATTCGAAGACCCTGGCTCCAGGCCCTCCCCGCCCGCTCAAGTCCCTGGCTTCCAGGCCCGACTTCCCGATCAAGTTCCCCTATTCCAGGCCCCGCCGCCCGTTCGAATCCCTGGTTTCCAGGCCAGGCTCCCTAATCAAATCCCTCGCTTCCAGGCCCCCACCCCCCCGCCCATTCAAAACATCTTCCTCCCAGGCCTGACACTCCAATCGAACTCCTGCATCCCAGGCCCCGCCGCCAGTTCAAATCCCTTCGGGGCCCCGCCGCCCGTTCGAACCCCCTGCGTCTGGGCCCCGCCGTCCGTTCAAGCCCCCTGCTTCCAGGCCCGATTCCCTGGTCCAACCCCTCTCTTCCGGACCCCGCCGCCCGATGAGGCCATTGGCCTTTAAGGCCACACTGCCCGACTATTCGAATCGCGTGCTTCCAGGCCTCGGCGCCCCTTCAAACTCTTCGCTTCCAGGCCCGACACCCCAGGCAAACTGCTGTATTCCGGGCCCCGCCGCCCGTTCGAATCACTGGCTACCGGGCCAGCCTGCCAATTCGAATCCCCACTCTCCAGGCCCACCCCCCCGTTCAGATCCCCTGCCCCCAGGCCCGATAGCCTTTCCCAGTTCTTGGCTTCCAGACCCACTGCCTGTTCAAATGTCTTGTTTCAAGACCCGACTGCCGCATCAAATCTCATCAAATCCCTTGCTTACAGGCCTTGCCGCCTATTCAAAGCTCCCGCTCCCAGGTCCAATTGCCTTTGGAAGCTCCTTGCTTCCAGGCCCCGCCGCCCGTTCAATTTCTTTGCTTCCAGGCCCGAATGCTCTTCCAAATTCCTCGCTTCCAGGCCTGCCGCCCGTTGAAATCTCCCGCTCCCAGGCCCGACTGTCCTCGCAAATTCTTGGCTTCAATGCCTCACTGCCCGCTCAAGTCTTTTGCTTCCAGGCCCGACTGCGCGTCTTCGCTTCCAGGCCTCCGTGTCGCGGCGAATGGTATTCGCGTTTCGCGAGTCCCTTGTCCTGTCCTGGGGGTGGCGGCGCGAAAGCGCGAAGTTGTTCGCGCTTCGCGGAGCGCGAAGCGCGGAGTTAGTTGCCCTAGTTTTTAAGCGAACATCGTGCCAGGTGAACAGCATTGGACTGGGAGTTCCGCGAGGCCGAGCGGATGTTGGAGGATGTTGGAAGTCAAAGGCACCCAAACGGCAGCCTGCACGTAGATTTCTCCCCGCCTGCTTCTTCCGACTGCGCCGCGGGGTCGGCCGTGCTCGGGTCGGCCGAGGTGCCGTTGACAGTCTCCCCTCTCCCTCTTCCAGCGGCATCCGAGGGGTGGGGACCAGGGGCGTGTGCGTGTGTGTGTGCGCGTGTGGATAGCAAAATCGTGACCAGGGCCATGACATCCCCGAGATTCCGGGGCCGCCGCTTCGCACTTCAAAACCTGTCCCTTGCCCCCCCCCCCTCATGCTCTCCCGTGCCTCGGGCCATGCTGCGCACTCCCCACTCCTCCTGGCCCCCCCCCCCCTGGGGCACATCCGGCTCCCCCCCCGAGGAGGAGGAGGAGGAGGAGGAGGAGGAGGAGGAGGAGGAGGAGGAGGAGGAACAGGAGCAGGAGCAGGAGCAGGAGCAGGAGCAGGAGGAGGAGTGACGAGGAGGAGAAGGAGGAGGAGGAGGAAGAGGAGGAGGACTCTCCGCTCCTGGCCGCCCCGCCCTCGGCACGAGCTCAAAGACCCTGGCCGGTCGGCGCTGGGGCGCCATTGCGCCGGAGGGGCCGCGTGCCCCCGAGGGCTGCCCCCGACGGCCGCCCGCTTGCCGCGGGCCGCCTCTGGCACGAGCTCGCGCGGTGGCTGTTCGGCGCCCGGCGCCCCGGTCGGGCGCGTCTTCTCCGCGGAGCGACGCGCTGGCTCCGTCTGCGTCTCCTCGCTCTCTCGCTCTCTCTCTCTCTCTCTCTCTCTCTCTCTCCTCGCCCCTCTCTTCGTATATCCTCTCCTTCTCCCCCCCCTGCCCCTCTCTCTCTCTCTCTCTCCCTCACTCTCTCTCTCTCTCTCTCTCTCTTCGTATATCCCTCTCCCTCTCCCCCCCCCTGCCTCCCTCTCTCTCCCTCTCCCTCACTCTCTCTCTCTCTCTCTTTCTGTACCCCGAGTCGCTCAAAGAGCGTGGCGTGGTGGATCGCGTGAGCGGCAGCATGGGCATGTCCAGCGCTCGGCGCGCGGGTTTTGATCGCCAGATGGGGTGGGTTCCGCACGCGTGGGGGGGAGGTACGGGCCGTCGGCTGTGGAGGTATGAGGAGGGGTGCTCGTCAGACGTTCGGATTGTGTGTTCCTCCACCTCGTGCTCCTCCTGCTCCTCCTCCTCCTCGTGATTCCCCTCCTCCTCCTCCTCGCCGTTCCCTTTTAGCGCTGGTCAGCTCTGTCTTGTGGAGTCCTCTTCCCCAAAGTGGGGAAGCTAACAGTCGAAGATCACTGGGCGTCCTGGGGCTGATTCCCTCTTTCTTCCCCCTTCCTCCTCGTCCTCCTCATCCGCCCCTGTCCCCACCTCCCTCTCCTTCCCCACTTCCCCCCCGCCGTCTCTCCCCCCCGCCTCCCCCACCCCGAGGGGGATGCAGGGGAGCTGGGCCCCAGATTGCTCGCAGGTGACACCGCGAGAATGATGGGGACGAGGCCCTTTCCCGCCCCCCTTCCATGCCACTGTTCCCTGGGCTATTGCGCTCGAGGGGGGGGGATTGGCGAGGACGGCGTTGGGCTCATCAAGCTGCTGGAGCCGGAGCACCCCCCCCGAGCGTCGCGGGCGCACGCGCCCGCGAGTGGGGAACATATTGAAGCGCATATTGAAACCTTGGCGTGATCGAAGACGCCTACGGCGAATCACCGCCGCCCCCTGCCTTTTGGGAAGCGCCTATGTGGCCGAACGTTAAGGCCAGACCTGCCAAGCTATCGGCCCACATGTGTTCCCCGAATCGGTTTGGAAATCCTTCGGGGAACACGTGGGCATCTTGAAGGTCATCTTGGCCGCCTGGAGGCCATTCTGACCCTTTCGGGCCTTCTTGAAGGACGTCTTGGAGGGCTCTTGGGCCGTCTTGGGGGCCTCTGGGGGCCTCTGGGGGCCGTCTTGGGCGATCTTTGGGGGCACTTGGGCCGTCTCGGGCCATTGGAAGGCCGAAAAAAAGCAAATGCCACAATCCCTCAAAAACTCATGGGAAATCAATGATTTTGGCCTTTTCGGGCCTTCTGGAGGCCCTCTTGGAGGCCTCTTGGGCCGTCTTTGGCCATCTTAGTGCCATCTTCGGCCGTCTTGGTGGGCCCCTGGCCCGTCCGACGCCGTCGGAAGCCGGTTGGGAAGCCTCTCTGAGCCGACTTAGGGTCCTCTTGGAATGCTCCAGGGCCGTCTTGCAGGCCATCTTGGGCGTCTTGAAAGCCTCCTGGGCCGTCTTGGGGGCCTCTTGGGGCCGTCTTGGGGGCCTCTTGGGCCGTTCTGGGGCCATCTTGGAGGCGTCTTGGCCGATCTTGCGATCTTTGGGGGCTCTTGGGCCGTATCGGGGGCCGTCGGAAGGCCGAAAAGAAGCAAATGTCAAATTCTTTCAAAAACCTATTGAACATCTGTGTTTTTAATCTTTTTCTGGCCTTCCTGGAGGTCCTCTTGGAGGCCTCTTGGGCCGTCTTGGGCCAGCTTCGAGCCAACTTCGGCCATCTTGGTGGGCTCCTGGCCCGTCTTACGCCGTCGGAAGCCATTTGGGGGGCCTTATTGGGCCGACTTGGGGCCTTCTTGGGGTGCTCCAGGGCCGTCTTAGAGGCCATCTTGGGCGTCTTGCAAGCCTCTTGGGTCGTCGTTGTGCCCTCTTGGGGCCGTCTTGTGGGCCTCTTGGGCAGCACTGAGGCCATCTTGGAGGCCTCTTGGGCGCTGTGTGGGCGATCTTGGGGCCTCTTGGGACGCCTTGGGTCGTCGGAAAGCCGAGAAGAAGCGAATGCCAAAATCCTTCAAAAACCGAAGGAAAATTCTAGACGCTTCGCGTATCCCCACCAGCCCGTCCAGAAACGACGCCCAGGCGAGTAGAGGGTCGTCCTGAGGGGCTTTTCGGCGTCTTGGGTGCCTCGGGGGGGGCCTCTTTGGGCCGTTTGGGATCCTCTTGGGGGCCTCCTGGGGGCCTCTTGGGGCCAGCTTGGGGCCATCTTGGGGCCTCTTGTTGCCTCCTGGGCGCTTCTTGGGGCCATCTTGGAGGAAATCGATCAAAGAAGAGGGGAGCTTTAATTAGCGCTGCCCCCTCAGAAGGCCAAAATGGGGCCAAAACCTTAGTAAAATCAATGATTTTGGCTTCAAAGAAGAGGGGAGCTTTAATTAGCGCTGCCCCCTCAGAAGGCCAAAATGGGGCCAAAACCTTAGTAAAATCAATGATTTTGGCTTCAAAGAAGAGGGGAGCTTTAATTAGCCCTGCCCCCTCAGAAGGCCAAAATGGGGCCAAAACCATAGTAAAATCAATGATTTTGGCTTCCTCGGCGAGGCCGTTTTGGACGCTCTGACCGCTCCCCGCGGGGAGGGGGTAGGGGGAGGGGTAAACCCATCCCCGAAGGGGAAGAGGGAGGGGTGGAAGAGGAAACGCTCTAAACCACCGACGCCCAGAGGGCTGGTGGGATTAATGATTGTGGCTTCTTCGGGCCCTCCTGGAGGACGTCCTGGAGGCCTCTTGGGCCGTCTTGGAGGCCTCTGGGGGGCCGTCTTGGACTCTCTTGGGCCGTCCTGGAGGCCGTCTTGGACCATCTTGGGCGAACTTGGAGGCCATCTTGGGCCAACGTGGCCACATTGGCGCCATTTTGAGCCATCTTGGAGGATTTTTTTCGGATTGAGCACCTTCCCGGGACCCCGGCGGGACGCGCTGGAGGCCCAGGGTGAGTTCTTTTGGAAAAGAACCAAAACCAAAACCGAGAGGGTTCAGCACGCCAGGCACCCCTGTGATGAATCAACAGGGGGGGGCGGATCGAAGACGCCTATGGCGAATCACCGCCGCAAGCTATCGGACCATGTGTTCCCCGAATCGGTTTGGAAAGCCTTCGGGGAACACGTGGGCATCTTGAAGGTCATCTTGGCCGTCTGGAGGCCATTTTGACCCTTTCGGGCCTTCTTGGAGGACGTCTTGGAGGGCTCTTGGGCCGTCTTGGAGGCCATCTTGAGCGTCTTGGAGGCCGCTTGGGCCGTCTTGGGGGCCTCTGGGGGCCGTCTTGGGCGATCTTTAGGGGCACGTTGGTCGTCTCGGGCCGTCAGAAGGCAGAATAACAGCAAATGCCACAATCCTTCAAAAACTCATGGGGAATCAATGATTTTTGCCTTTTCGGGCCTTCCTGGAGGCCCTCTTGGAGGCCTCTTGGGCCGTCTTGGGCCATCTTGCATCTTCGGCCGTCCTGGTGGGCTCCTGGCACGTCTGACGCCGTCGGGAGCCGTCTTGGGGGCCTCTCTGGGCCGACTTGGGGTCCTCTTGGGGCGCTTCGGGGCCGTCTTAGAGGCCATCTTGGGCGTCTTGGAGGCCTCTTGGACCGTCTTGGGACCCTCTTGGGCCGTCTTGGGGCGAGCCTCTTGGACCGTCATGGGGCCATCTTGGAGGCCTCTTGGGCGATCTTCGGGCGACCTTGGGGGCCTCTTGGGCCGTCGAAAGGCCGAAAATGCGCAAGTACCAAAATGCTTCAAACACCTCAGGAAAATCAATGATTTGTGCCTCTTCAGGCCTTCCTGGAGCACCTCTTGGAGGCCACTTTGGCCCGTCTTGGAAGCCTCTTGGGGGCCTCCTGGGCCCATCTAAGGCCGTCTTGGGGCCATCTTGGGCCGTCTTGGAGGCATCTAGGGGCCATCTTAGCCGTCCTGGAGGCCATCTTGGCCGTCTTGGAGGCATCTTGGAGGCAATCGTGGGCCATCTTGGCTGTCTTGGAGGCTATCTTGGGCGTCTTCGAGGCCTCTTGGGCCATCTTGGGGCCGTCTTGACGGGCCTCTTGGGCCGTCATGGGGCCATCTTGAAGGCCTCTTGGGCAATCTTGCGGCGACCTTTGGGGTCTCTTGGGCCGTCGGAAAGCCGAAAATGCGCAAATGCCAAAATGCTCCAAAAACCTATGGAAAATCAATGATTTGGGCCTTTTCGGGCCTTCCTGGAGGGACCTCTTGGAGGCCTCTTGGGCCGTCTTGGAGGCCTCTTGGGAGCCTCTTGGGCCGTTTTGGGCCATCTTGAGGCCATCTTAGGCAGTCTTGGGTGCATTTTGGGCCATCTTGGAGGCATCTTGGGGCCATCTTGGGCGTCTTGAAGGCAATCTTGGCCATCTTGGAGGCCATCGTAGGCCATCTTGGAGCCGTCTGGAACGGAAAAACCCTGTGCAACCACCTCTGGAAGATTTTTTGGCATCCTTCCGGGTGGCCGGCGGGACGGGCCGAAGCCCCAGGGGGAGTTCTTTTGGAAAAAGGACCAAAACCAAAACCGAGAGGGTTTAACACGCCAGGCACCCTTGTGATGAATCAACAGGGGGCGGCGGATCGAAGACGCCTACGGCGAATCACCGCCGCCCCCTGCCCTTCCGGAAGCGCCGATGCGGCCGGCTGCTGTGGCCAGAGGTCTGCCAAGTGATTGGGCCATATGTTCCCCGAATCGGTCTTTACAGCCTTCGGGGAACACGTGGGGGAGTACGGGGAGGAGAGGAGAACATGCCAAAATCCTTCAAAAACTTTAGGAAAATCAATGATTTTAACCTATTCGGGCCTTCGGAGGGCTCTTGGGCCGTCTTGGAGGCCTTTTGCCGGCCTTTTGGGCCGTCTTAGACCATCTTGAGGCCATCTTGGACCGTCTTGGGTGCATCTTGGAGCCATCTTACCCGTCTTGGAGGCCATCTTGGCCGTCTTGGAGGCATCTTGGAGGCCATCTTGGGCCATCTTGGCCGTCTTGGAGGCCATCTTGGGCGTCTTGGAGGCCTCTTGGGCCGTCTTGAGGCCCTCTTGGGGCCTTCTTGGGGGCCTCTTGGGCCGTCATGGGGCCATCTTGGAGGCCTCTTGGGTGCTGTTGGGGCGATGTTGGGGACCTCTTGGGCCGTCTTGGGCCGTCGGAGAGCTGAAAAGAAGAACATGCCAAAATCCTTGAAAAACCTAAGGAAAATCAATGATTTTAACCTATTCGGGCCTTCCTGGAGGGCGTCTTGGAGGGCTCTTGGGCCGTCTTGGAGGCCTTTTGCGGGCCTTTTGGGCCGTCTTAGACCATCTTGAGGCCATCTTGGGCCGTCTTGGGTGCATCTTGGAGCCATCTTACCCGTCTTGGAGGCCATCTTGGCCGTCTTGGAAGCATCTTGGAGGCCATCTTGGGCCATCTTGGCCGTCTTGGAGGCCATCTTGGGCCAAGTTGGGGCAACAAAGGCATTGACAGATGGATTTTCGGAAACTTGCGGGTGGCCGGCGGGACGGGCCGAAGCCCACTGGGGAGTTCTTTTAGAAAAAGAACCAAAACCAAAACCTGAAACATCCAGCACGCCGTGCACCCCTGTGGCAAGACCACAGGGGGCGGCGGATCCTAGTGGCCTTCGGCCTATCCCGCCACCGTGCCTGGATGGCGGGTGTGAGGCTTTTTTTTATATATATATATATATAGAGAGAGAGAGAGAGAGAGAGAGATATAGATATGTGTTTATATATATATATATATATATATATATATATATGCGTGTGTGTGTATGTGTGTTGGGGGGTCGTGGGGAGCCTCTCGGGGGCCTCCTGCAGGCGGTTTGGGCGCCCCTTGGGGGCCTTTTGGGGCCTCGTGGGGTATCTTCTGGGCTTCTTGGAGGCCTCTTGGGCGCGTCTTGGGCGCCTCTTCGGGCCTCTTGGGGCCTCTTGACGGCCTCTTGGGGCCTCCTGGGGGCCACTCGGGGCCTCAGGGGGCGTGAGTGCGGTTTGACTTACGCGGCCTCGAGAGCGCGAGTGTGCTGTAATTCACGGGAGAGCGTGGCCTCGGGGGCGCTAAGGCAGCGTAATGTAGTAGGGATCGTAGCCTCGGGGGCGCGACTGCGGGGTAATCTACAATGGATCGTGGCCCCAGAGGCGGACATGTGGCGTAATGTATTGGGGATCGTGGCCTCGGGAGCGTGAATGTGGCGTATTCTACATGGGATCGTGGCTTCGGGGACGCGAATACACTGTAATGTACGAGGGATCTTCGCCTCGGGGGCGCGAATACAGTGTAATTTACGAGGGATCATTGCGTCGGGAGCGCGAATTGCAAGTATTTTTAAGTGTCCCAGTGCCCCCCAGAAATTCAGACAACGCGATTTGGGGACGCTAATCGAGCTGGTTTTCGGCTCCCCACCCCCACCACGCGCGGACAGTAACAAATTACAGTAGCCAGCAGAAAGCAATGCTGTGACATTGGAAACTGGAACTGGAGCAGGGAGCAGCAAACCTAAGCCTCGCAGCCTGATGGCCCCGCAAGGGGACCGGCGGATATACATATGTATTATGTAGTAGTTTCTCGCGTTCGATTTCCCCTGAATCTCATCACCTGCATTGAAGCATTGAATCGCCATGGAGCATGGGGTATGAGCGGTGAGATATGCATCATGCTGCGAAGTGCCTTCCGCATCCGCGACTTCGCTCACAGGACCAGGTGTTGTGGTCGTGCTGCCGCGCCGGCGAGAGCCCACAAATCAAGGACCCGCGTTTCGTATTGCCCAACATCATTGAGAGCAGGCAGGGGCAAGGTGTGGCAGCGTGGGTGGGTCAGCTCATTTGCGCGCGCTCAGCACGTCTACGCAAAAGTGATGCGGCAGATTTACATGTCTACGGCCAGGCGGAGCGCGGAATCCTTTGCCTCGGCTGCGCCTTTCATCTCCAGAATGGGCTAAGTGTAGACGCGCAAGTGTTTGCATGCGTGCATCTGGGATCACCCAATCACTTGGGCATAGTAGTTCTATCCAGAGTCTTGGTAGCATGCCAGGCACCTCGATGACAATTATAGCTTGCAGTCTCAGATCGGGGGATGTCAAAGCCCGACAGACGATTCCAGCCGAGAGTATGCGCAGTAAGTCGTCGAACAGTTGATGGAGTCCATGCGCTGGCAGGGTGGATCTTCTTATCCACAGCGCTTCGGGAGGGGGAGGGGGAGAGGGGGGGGGATGAGGGAGGGGGAAGGGGGGGGTGGGGGCGGAAGAGCGGCACCGGCACCGTTCTCGCGGAGCAGCCGACGTTATGTTCGTGTTCTCGTGGACCGCCGAGGGGCCGCACTCGGGCCGTCCGGGGCCCGTCGGGCGCACTGGGGCGCGTTTGGATTGCTCTCCCGTCAGGAGGGAAAAAAACACACACAGACGCAAGTAATTGTCGATCCCCAGGAAAATATAAGAAAATATGGGAAGTGGGGGGGAAGACGTACATCCAGAAAATATGGGAAAATATAAGGGAATCCTGTTGTTTGTGTCTATCCATTTGTGTGTCCCAGGGCCCCTTCAGTATTGGGGCCACCTTGAGTGGCCTGGACGCTGAGGCACGTTCTCCGCAGTTGGTGATCCTTCGCGCTCCAGGTCCAGCTGGTGAGCAGCATAGAAGTGGGTGTGGATGGCAGGGGAGAGGGCACGGGAGAGCAGTGGGCAGGACGAGGAAGAGAAATACGACAGGAAGCACCAGTATAGGGTGCAGTCTGAGAGTAGCCAGTGTTTTGTGGGATACTTACAGCGTCTTCGGGGGATGGTAGGGTTCTGTCAGGAGAAAGCGAAGGCGGAGGATAAGGTGTGAGGGATGACGAGACCATGTTGTGAAGACGGAAATGGGAAGAGAGGGGGAGGAGAAGGAGGATGTAGACATTTCGTGGACCATTGAGGCCGGCATTGGCAGATGTGGGGCCTCTTGGACGCATGTTCGGGCTCATCGAAGACGCCTGCGGCGAATCAACGCCGCTTCTTGCCTTGTGGAAACGCCCATGCGGCCAAATGTTGGGCTGAAGCTTGGCCAAGCTATTGAGCTATGTGATACTATGTGTTCCCCCAGCCGCTGTGAAGCCCCTCGGAGGACACTTGGGGGAGGCAGAGAATGAATAAATGAATGAATGAATGAATGAATGAATGAATAATGAGGAGGAGCATGAGCAGGAGCAGGAGCAGGAGGAGGAATAAGAGGAGGGGCTTCCTGGGGGCATTCTGGGAGTCTCCTGGAGGTCTCTGAGGGGCCACATGCTGGAGCTCGCGCGCATACAATTGAGACCGCAGCGCAATACCGCCCAAGCGTCGTTACTGTTATTGGGAGCCCCACTAACGCGAATGCCGTTATTGTGAATCGAGTGGCAAGCATAGGTGAGAGCCAGGAGATGCGGGATGTGGGAAAAAACACGCAAACAAAACACAAAGGGGGGGTCGCGTGTTTTTGTCCGAAAGGGGATCTCGGGGCTATCCTGCTATTCTCTTGGAGACAGGTAGTCACGCCTGGGCGGCGGGGGCGACGGGCTAACGAACAAACGGCGGCGAAGATAGAGGGCTCCGAGCGGCTCCCCCAGAGGCCTTCTCCGAGGCACTCCAAAGGTCTTTCCGGAGGCCCCCCAGAGGGCCCCCCGGAGTAGAGGTTTCCCCCGGGGACCCCCCCCAGGAGCCTTCCCAGAAGCCCCGTCGGAGACCCTCAGAGGCTACCCCAGACGGTTTCCCAGAGGCCCCCCCAAGAGGACCTGGAGAAGACCCTCCCAGAAGCTGTCCCAGAGGCTTCGTAGAGGCCCCCAACGGCCACCCCCCACCCCCCAAGAGGCTTTCCCCAGAGGCTTCCCAGGAGCCCGCCCAGGGGCTGTGCCAGAGGCCCCCCAAGAGGCTCCCCATGAACGGTTCCCGCGGGCTTCCCTCTTCAGAGAGGAGGCAGGCCAGGGGGATGGAGGGGCAAGGGGGATCACGAACGAGCGAGCGACGAACGCACGAACGACGAGCGAACGAAAATAGAAAGAGTCGGGGGGCGCGGGGATGGTTCAGGCCAGAGGAATGGGGGAGGGGGACCACGATCGAACGAAGGAACGACGAGCGAGCGAGAATACAGGGTTAGAGGGCCTTGGGGTGGGCCTGGGTCAGAGGTAATGGTGTCGCGCTTCCAGAGGCATTCCCCGAAGTGCTCCCAAGGGTTCCTTCTGCGGCACCCCAGAGACTCTGCCGGACCGTCCTCTGGAGGCTCCCTTTTCCCCCACAGGCGCCCCCCCCAGAGGTTTCTTTCGGAGGCCTCCCCAGAAGCTCCCCGAGAGACCACCCCAGAGGCTCCCCAGAGCCTCTCCCCGACAGTTCCCCGGAGGGTTTCCTGGAGACCCCAGTCGGGGGCCCTGAGACGGGGGCTAATGCAAAGGGGGGTCAGCCATATCGCTGGCTCTTTCAGGATCCTGATGAAGGGCCAGGGTCGCACAGACCCGGGCTTGGGCGCAGGATCCTGCAAGATCTTGCATGATCTTGCAGGATCCTGCAAAACTTGCTTGACCCGGGTCGGGACTGACCCGGGTCAGTAGATCCCCGACCAGAGATTTCCCCAGAAGTCTTCCCCGTGGCTTCGTCCTCAGAGGCCTCCCCCAGAGGCTCCCCCAGACAATCCCCTGGGAAAGCTCTCCTAAAAGGGCTCCCCTCGAGGGGGAGCAGGCCAGAAGCAGGGGCAGGTCCTCCTCCTCCTCCTCCTCCTTCTCCTCCTCCTCCTCCTCTTCCTCCTCCTCCTCCTCTTCCCCCTCCTCCTCCTCCTCCTCCTCCTCCTCCGAGGGGGACCACGAACGATCGACGCACGAACGAGCGAACGACGAGCGAACGAGAATACAGGCTCGGGGGGGCGTTGGGGGCGGCCTAGGCTAGAGGGAGGGACCACGAACGATCGACGCACGAACGAACGAACGACGAACGAATGAGAGTAGAAGGCTCCGGGGGGCATCGGGGGCGGCCTAGGCCGGAGGGAGGGGGTTGCCGTGAAATAGGTGAACTATTCGACGCGGAGATCCCCATATTGTTATCTCAGTTTCTGGCACTCCCGCCTGGGAGTGTCTAAGTCAGAGGACCCTGGCTTGCGGCGGCTGGGCGCCCCTGGCGGTTCCCCATTCGGAGCGCCCAGCTGTTATGCTTGCTACGGCGTGAGTATATCGGGACTTAGCTATGTCCGCACCTCACTCCTTCATGAGTGCCTGAGCATGAGCGAGACTGCGCGTGCGCAAGTCCGAGCGCGAGCGACCCTCCTTACTACCACTTGCGGTTGTGCTCCGCCTGGTGTTGCTTCATGCCGATCCGCGCTGCTCTCTCTCTCTCTCTCTCTCTCTCTTTGCGTGCGTGCGCGTGCCAAAGGGGCACGCCGCGCGTACAGCACCCCGGCGAGCGGGCAGCGCGTACGCTCGCAGCCACGTGGAAGCCTTGTGGACGGAAGCGCGATGACCTCCCTCCTCCCCCCTCCTCCTCCTCCTCCTCCTCCTCCTCCTCCTCCTCCTCTTCCTTCTCCTCCTCCTCCTCCTCCTCCCCCTCCTCCTCCTCCTCCTCCTCCTTCTCCTCCTCCTCCTCCTCCTCTGAGCATCAGCGAGTCCGGCGGGGGGCGGAGGGGCTCCGAGCAGAGAGGAGTCCGATCGGCCACACGGGCAGACCGTCGGAGGCACCCCCACCGTCGGGGCGCGAGCGGGCCACCGTGCCCCGCCCTGGGCGCCCCCCCCCCCCGGGGGAAGGGGGGGGGGGCTCTCATGCCGCGCCCGCTTCGCGATGGGCCCGGGGCTCTGGATGCGTGCGTGGTCCTCCTCCTCCTCCGCCTCCTCCTCCTCCGCCTCCTCCGCCGCCTCCGCCGCCTCCTCCATCCCACCACCTGCTCCTGCTCCTGCTCCTGCTTCTCCTCCGTCCCGTCTCCTGTGTGTGCACGAGTCTGTATATGATTTGGTTGAGCATCAGTGGACCCGAGCGAGAGTGAGGGCCAGTGAGTTCAGATATGGGTGTGCCTAGATGTCAGCGAGTCCGAGCGTGAGCACATCCGAGGGCCAGCGGGTCTGAATATGAGTGACCCGAGCGTGATGCCTTTGAGTGTGAGTGCATCTAGGTCTGAGTGAGTTTGAGTATGAATGATTTCAGTGTGATGGAAAGAGAGCGAGAGAGAGAGAGAGAGAGAGAGAAAAATAGAGAGAGAAATAGAGAGAGAGAGAGAGCAACGACAAAACAAAGAGAGAGAGAGAGAGAGGGGAGTGAGGGAGGAGGAGGAGGAGGACGAGGAGGAGGAGGAGGAGGAGGCGTCACAGTAATAACAAGAACCCCATACGTACGATATGTGGACAAACACAACCTCGGGATCGTCGCTCCGCCTCCCTCCCCCTCCCTGGGCCCGCGGCCCAGGAGACGGCGCTGGCGCAGGGCGGCGAGCAGTACGGCGAGGCATTGGCATCGGCAGGGAATTTTGCTGTCCTGAGGGGAGACGGGGAACGAGGAGGAGGAAGCAGATGACGAGGAGGGAGAAGGAGAAAGAAGAAGACGAGGAGGAGGGGAAGACGACAAGGAGGGAGAAGGAGGAAGAAGAAAAGGAGGAGGGGAAGACGACGAGGAGGGAGAAGGAGGAGAAGGAGGAGGAGGAGGAGACGACGACGAGGCGCTGGCGGCCGTGCTGGCCGGCTGGCCAGCCGGGCCGCCGCTGCCGCTGGTTGGTTGAGGTTTGGTGGAGGGTTGGGGGCCACCAGGGGCACTCCCCTTGCCGCAGCTGGATTGGCTTCGGAGGTTTGATGAATTCTGGTCAAAACGTATCCCTGGCGAGGCCTTGTTGATTTGTGAGGGAGGAGAAGGGAGAGGAGGAGGAGGAGGAGGAGGAGGAGGAGGAGGAGGAGGAGGAGGAGGAGAAGGAGAAGAAAAATAATAATAAGGAGGAGGAGGTGGAGGAGGAGCAGGTGGAGGAGGAGGAGGAGGAGGAGGAGGAGGAGGAGCAGCAGGAGGAAACGGAAACGGAAACGGAAACGGCCACAAGGCGCCGCCCTCGTTGCCTTAAGTCGGGCCTGTCCCTCTACAGGAGGAATATTCAAATTCAAAATAGGCAAGAATAGCCTGGGGACGATTTTTGAAATTAATGATTGACCATGTTTGAGTGTTGTTTGAGTATGGTTTATTTCTCGTCGGAAATCGGCCTGTAGGGGGACATGCCCGACCTAATCGTTGCCCATCGCGTCCAAAAAGCGCGCGACCCAGATCCGAGGCACCCGGATCCGAAGCACCGCCGCGCCGCCGTGAGGGGTGTGCCGAAGTGGGCGCGGTGCCGCCGTGCGACCTTTCCCACCGGTGCCCGCGGGGAAGCACGTGAGGCGTGTGCCAACGTGGACGTCTGAGAGGGCACCAGGCAGGGAGGGGGAGGAGGCGGGGAGGGGGCGGTGGGGGAGCGTGAGGCGGGGCGCGGCGCTGCGGCTCAAGACGGGGACCCAGCACCACAGGCTGGGGGGGAGCCGGAGCCTCCGGCCACGACCCGCGAGGCCCCAGAGGGCGGTCGACGGCAGCACCGGGGGGGCCCGCCCCGCGCCGGCCGTCAGGGCGCCCGCCCCGCCCGCAGGTGCTCGCTCTCTACATCCAGGGCCTCCGCGCAGGGGCGGAGGCGGAGCAGGCCAGCATTCCTCGCCGCCTCTTGACTGTTGGAGCCGCCATGGCAGCGAGGGGTCCTGGTCTTGATCAAGCAGCGGCGAGAGACGTCGTGGCCTGCCCATCAGGCCCACGGAGGAGTGTTCGAATAGCCTTGCTTGCGGTTTGCACGAGACGTTCTTGGAACATGTCTTGAGGAGGCCGTCTTGTTTTGATCCATCGGTTTCGCGTTCTATTGATGCTGTTTTTATTCCCCAAACAGCTTGCTGAACGGGGTGCGGTTGTGATAGAAGCTAACTCGGGCCGAGGGAAGTCGGAGCAGAGACATCCTCACAAAAATTCTAGACGCTTCGCGTATCCCCACCAGCCCGTCCAGAAATGAGTCCCAGGGGAGTGGAGGTTATGAGGGAAGCGGGGGAGCATGCAGAAGAACAAAGGGCGGGGTGAGCCGCCATATACCCCAAGAGGGGGAGGATGTAGGAGGAGCCGTCGTCGTCGGAGTAAGAGGAGGAAGAGGAGGAGCAGGAGGAGGAGCAGGAGGAGGAGGAGGAGGAATAGAAGGAGGAGGAGATGGAGGACTGCGAGGACGAGGAGGACGAGAAGGAGGAGAAGGAGAAGGAGGAGGAGGAGGAGGAGGAGGAGGAGGAGGAGGAGGAGGAGGAGGAGGAGGGGGAGGGGGAGGAGGGAGGAGGAAGAAAAAGAGGAGGAGGAGGAGGAGGAGGACAATTGCGAGCTTGGGGGCCTCTTGGGCCGTCCTTGGGGCCTCTTGGCGGTCCCGGGGGCCTCTTGCGTATCTCGGGGAGCCTCTTGTGGCCTCTTGGGGGTCTCTTGGGGGCCTCTTGGAGGCCTCTTGGGGGCCTCTTGGGGCCTCTTGGGGCCCTCTTGGGGCGCTCTTGGGGCGCTCTTGGGAGCCTTCGAGGCGCTCTTGGGGCCATCTTGGAGGAGATCTATCAAAGAAGGGGGGGTCCCCAATTAGCGCTGCCCCTCTAGAGTGCCTCGAGTCGCCTCTTGGGCCCCCCCAAGAGGCCAAAATCCTTCCAAAACCTAGGTAAAATCAATGTTTTTTGTTTTCTCGCCTTTTCGCTCTTGGACCCGTCTTGGGAGCCTCTTGGGCCTCTTGGGGGTCTCTTGGGAGCCTTTTGGAGGCCTCTTGGGCGCCTCTTGGGGCCTCTTGGGGCGCTCTCGGGGCGCTCTTGGGGCGCTCTTGGGAGCCTTCGGGGCGCTCTTGGGGCCATCTTGCAGGAGATCGATCAGAGAAGAGGGGGTCCCCAATTAGCGTTGCCCCTCTAGAGTGCCTCGAGTCGCCTCTTGGGCCCCCCAAGAGGCCAAAATCCTTCCAAAACCTAGATAAAATCAATGTTTTCTGTTTTCTCGCCTTTTCGCTCTTGGAGCCGTCTTGGGCCATCTTGGACTCTCTTGGGGCCTCTTGGGGGTCTCTTGGCAACGTCTTGGAGGCTTCTTGGGGGCCTCTTGGGGTCTCTTGGGGCCCTCTTGAGGCGCTCTTGGGGCGCTCTTGGGAGCCTTCGGGGCGCTCTTTGGGCCATCTTGGAGGAGATCTATCAAAGAAGGGGGGGTTGCTTATTAGCCCCGCCCCTCCAGAGTGCCTCGAGTCGCCTCTTGGGCCCCCCCAAGATGCCAAAATCCTTCCAAAACCTAGGTAAAATCAATGTTTTGTGTTTTCTCGCCTGTTCGCTCTTGGAGCTGTCTTGGGCCATCTTGGACGCTCTGACACCTCGCGACCGGCCCCGTCCAGGTCAGTGGGGAGGGGTAAGGGGAGGGGTAAACCCCTCCCCGAAGGGGAAGAAGGGGGTTGGCAGAGGAAACTCCCTAGACCACCTACGCCCTAAAGGGCTGGTGGGATTTGATGGTCCGGGCCGTTTCGCTTGAGACATCTTTACAATTCTCGTTTCTGAGTTGGCCGGGATTGGCCGTTTCGCCTGAGACATCCTCGAAAAGTTGCGCTCCGGGACGCCGCGCGAGAGGTGGTCTGGGCCGTTTCGCTTGAGACATCCTCGAAACTCTGAGCCCCGAGGTGCCGTGCGAGAGGTGGTCCGGGCCGTTTCGCCTGAGACATCCTCGAAACTCTGAGCTCTGAGATGCCTTGCGCGAGGTGGTCCGGCCCGTTTCGCCTGAGACATCCTCGAAACTCTACGCTCGGAGATGCCGCGCGCGAGGTGGTCCGGCCCGTTTCGCCTGAGACATCCTCGAACTTCTGGGCTCCGAGATGCCCTGCGCGAGGTGGTCCGGTCCGTCTCGCCTGGGATATCCTCGCAACTCTGAGCTCTGAGATGCCGTGCGCAAGGTGGTCCGGCCTGTTTCGCACAAGACATTCTCACAATTCTGAGCTCCCAGATGCCGCGCAAGAGGTGGTCCAGCCTGGGGGCCCAGAAGACCACATGTTACATAGTTACTCCCTGGGAGCCCCAAGGGCCCCAGAGAGCTTCAGGAGGCCGCAGGACGCCCAGGACAGGCCCCAGGGGTCCGCAGGAGATTCCCAGGAGGCTCCCAGGAGGCCCCAGGAGGCCCCCTATCAGACCGTGTCAAGTTAATACACATCCGGTGCCGATTCGTTGATTTTTCCTGCTCTTGTGGCCCCCCATTTTGGGAGGCCCCGACGGCCACATGTTAGATATCCCCCCTGGGAGCCCCAAGAGGCTTCAGGAAGCCCCAGGTGGGGTCCAGGAGGCCACAGGAGGCCCAGGAGGAAGCCCCAGGAGGTCACCAGGAGGTCGCACGAGGCCCCAGGAGGCCCCCGCAACTCGGAGCTCTGAGACGCCGCGCCCGAGGTGGTCTGGCCCGTTTCGCCTGAGACTTCCTCGCAGCACGTTTCGCCCGAGACATCGTCGCAACTCTGGGGTCCGAAATGCCGCGCGCGAGGTGGTCCAGCCCGGTACGCTGGAGACATTCTCGTAACTCTGGGCTCCGAGATGCCCTGCGCGAGGAGGTCCGGCCCATCTCGCCTGAGACATCCTCGCAACTCTGAGCTTTGAGATGCCGTGCGCAAGGTGGTCCGGCCCGTTTCGCACAAGACATTCTCGCAACTCTGAGCTCTCAGATGCTGCGCAAGAGGTGGTCCAGCCTGGAGCCCAGAAGACCACATGTAATATCCCTCCCTGGAGCCCCAGGAGGCCCCAAGAGCTTCAAGGAGGCCGCAGGGAAACGCCCAGACAGGCCCCATGGGTCCGCAGAGATAGCCCAGAAGCCTTGCCCAGAGGGCCCCCGGAGGCCCCCCTATCAGAACCCGTGTCAAGTTGAATACACTTCCGGTCCGAGGCGGTGTGGAGTTGTCCTGCCTGGTGCCCCCCCCCCCCCCCCCCCCCCCCCCCCCCCCCCCCCCCCCCATATTGGGGGGGCCCCGAACGGCAACATGTGATGATAGCCCCCCCTGGGAGCCCCAAGAGGCTTCAGGAAGCCCCAGGCGGGGTCCAGGAGGCCACAGGAGGCCCAGGAGGAAGTCCCAGGAGGTCACCAGGAGGTCCCAGGAGGCCCCAGGAGGCCCCCGCAACTCGGAGCTCTGAGACGCCGCGCCCGAGGTGGTCCGGCCCGTTTCGCCTGAGACTTCCTCGCAGCACGTTTCGCCCGAGACATCGTCGCAACTCTGGGGTCCGAAATGTCACATGTCGCGCGCGAGGTGGTCCAGCCCGTTACGCTGGAGACATCCTCGCAACTCTGGGCTCCGAGATGCCGTTCGGGATAAAGAGGAGGTGGAGGAGGAGGAGGAGGAGGAGGAGGAGGAGGAGGCATGTTTTAACATGCCATGCCAGCCCGCACTGGACGGGCACGCAATCGACCTTGGAAACTGCCGTGGGTCTAAAACCCTGTTTGGGGATACTGCACTCCGGCTATAATTATTTGAGCATTCGATACTGCAACAGAAAGACTCCAAACCGGCCTGGGCAACTCTAGATGCTCAGATTGATTTCGATACCCGATGGCGTTCGCTAGACACGCCCGCGGCCCGCAGTTTTGAAGTTGCCGGTCGGGAAGTTCGGGCTCCCCGGCCCGACCTCGCGAACAGGAGGCGGAGTACATGCAATCATGCGAGGGGCACGGCTGTTGACCTCGGCTCTCCACTGCACCAACGTGCACTTGATTACGATTCGATGTTCTTTTTCTGCGTCGGCCTCGTTTTCGTCCTCCTCCTCTCACCTCCTCCTCCTCCTCCTCCTCCTGCTTCTCCTCCTCCTCCTCCTCCTACTCCTCCTTCTCCATTGCTTCTCCTTGTAAATCATTTCTCCCTGTCGCATCCCGAGGCCAGTTTTTAGGGCGGGCTGGGCGTTTCGCCTGAGACGTTCTCACCATTTATGACCCTGAAGCTTAGAAAATGACAGCAGTTTCACAGATGGAGGGCGGGTGGTTTTCAAAATGTGGCTCTCGCCTTAGCGCCGCGCACAGTCGTTTCAAACTTTGCAAGAGTTTCACGGTTGAGGACGGGTGGTTTTCAAAATGTTGCTCTCGCCTTAGCGCCGCGCGCATTCGTTTTCAAAAATCGCAAGAGCTTCACGGATTGAGGGCGGGTGGTTGCAAACATGTGGTTCTCGCTGTAGCGCCGCGCGCATTCAGGTTCAAAAGTTGCAAGATTTTCACGGATTGAGGGCGCTGCTTTTTCAAAATGTGGTTCTCGCCGTAGCGCCGCGCACATTTTTGTTGAAAGTTGCAAGAGTTTCACGAATTGAGGGCGGGTGGTTTTAAATATGTGGTTTTCGCTGTAGCGCCGCGCGCATTTTTGCTAAAAAGTTGCAATAGCTTCACGGATTGAGGGCGGTTCCTTGTCAAAGTGTGGCTCTCGCCTTAGCGCCGCGCGCATTCTTGTAGAAGTGTGCAAGAGTTCTGCGGACTCCCATGATCGACGTACCAGAAATTACGTTTTGGAAGGATTTCCTATTAACATCCGCCGCTCTGCGGTTGATCGGGAGTTTCTGTATATATAGAAGAAGGGGCGCGCGCTTCTGGGCGAGAGGGAAACGACCGAGAGAAGAAGGGGCGGCCGCCCCACAGGACCTCTCCATGGTGCCGGAAGCCCATCAGGGCTCCCTCAGGGCCCCTCCCCCAGGGCCGGGGCTCCCTCGCCTGCCC